GTTACTTGTATGTAGTGAAGCTAGGTGTATGTAACAGAATATTCTGTTTATAGTATATGTACTGTAAATCCAGTTATCATTTGTATATTTCAGCTTTACTTTCATGTAATTGTATTCATAGCAGTTATGTGAAAGCAGAATTGAAGTATACGTTTGGACAACTACGTATACAGAACATGTAATGAGAGGGGAAGTCATACCAGTTGTTCGTATACATAGCTGGCGTGTAGTTCCAGATTAATCTGTTTATTAATCCCGGCCTCAGAGTCCTGATGAAAGTTTTGTCTCACTTTACTCGACATTATTATGAATTGACTGTAATTTCTAAAATAAAACCACAAATAATACTTTTGAATCGAGTTTTTATACAAAATATTTGAATATGATTGGTGTGTGTGATTAGATGCCTTTCTCCCCACAAACTCCCAGTGCTATTATATCTAACTTTTTCCCACTTAAGAGTTTCTTAACATTAACTACTTTTGAACTAGTGATAAATAAATGATACCATGATATCACAATACAATAAGTCTAACTATGAAAAGTTATATTCAATACGTATGTTATATAATCTGTATAATAAACTTTAAGATTGTAAAATAAACTATGGGATGAATTTAAAATAGTTTTTAAATAAAATATAAATGCAGAGAAAAGCAGTTGAACTGATCATTAGTACAGTGAAAGAGCACAGGTATGGCATGATTGCGATAAACATCTAATATTTTAAGCTTAATATGAGATAAATGTTGTCGAGTTTTATAACATTATATACGAGTTTATTGTTTAGATATATAATATTAAACTTAACTAAAGGGAATTCTGAACAGGTGAAAAAAATTACATAACCCAAGGTAATAATTATTTAATTTTTAATAAAATTTAGGTTTTTATTTTGAAATAATCAATATAATTTTTAAAGCAAAATTAACTGATAAACGCTAATATTATTACAAATAGAAATTACTTTAAAATTACGATTGAAGAATATATAGTTTAAATAAACTGTTGTATCAGGGTTAACATAAGATAATTAAATATTTTTATATATTTTTCAATATACTAAAAATGTGAACATGCAAACAGACATTTATTTAAATTGACACAAATATTGTGATATACTATTTTATTTCAATAAAAAACTTTGAGAATACTAACTAAAACATTTTTAATCAAGAAATTATATTAATTAGCAATTAATTAACTAATTAATTAAATCAATAATCCATATAATATTCTGAACATAATTATAAAATTAATACTACATTATTAATAGAAATATTTAATATTTTAAAAAATATTACTCAAAAAATACTCCGAGAAATCTCACAGATAAAGGGCTTTTACCCCACTATAACCCTACAAATTATAATCAAGTTTAATATCCAGTTCCTCGAGACGTCGGTTATACTTGACATCAAACTGTTTGCACTGTTTTGCATTAAACATAGACTTCCAGTCACCTATAATTAAGGTTAAAAAATAATCCCATGTTTACCACAAATTACCACATTTACCGATAATGCCTTTACGCATGAACTTAGTCTCGCTCATATCAAACACCTGGGTGTCCACCGACACCTCCCGGTTCACCATCTGATTGGCGCTCATCTCAGCGAACGAGCAGTGATTCGCCATTTTCTCGATGACGTCAGCCGTGAAAGTCTTGCCCACAAAATAGCCGACCCTTGCGATCGTTTCCGGTAGGCGTGTCTTAAGCTCTTCGTACGATATTATCAGTACATTGCGGGGGTTCTGGCGCTGTAACCGCCAATAGCCCTCCACATGGGACAGCCAGTCCCCGTAGACCAGGTGCCCGGCCAGGAATAGGTTGGCAAATTGATCCCACGTGCCTGAATACTTACCCAGGTACGAGGTCATGCGATGGAAATGGTAGTAGGACACGCACGTGTCTTTTGGATTACGCACCACATAAATGATCTAGTTGATTTATAATAGTATG